CTTTTGAGAAGGTGCCTGAAGGGCTGGAATCTCAATGTTGAAGGGATGTATAAGAAAAGTAGAAATAGCTTAATTACTCAGCTAGATGATATTGATAAAAGATGTGAGCAAACTGGGTTCTCGGTTGCTGACTATGAGTTAAAAAATGTTTTACAGTATAAATTGAATAAATTGCTTCGAGAGGAAGAGATTAAATGGTACCAACGCTCGAAAGAGAGGGATATTAGAGAAGGCGATAATATCACTAGGTATCTTATGATCAAAGCTAGCGGTAGGAAACGTAAGAGCAAAATTTTCAGATTTGTTCAGGAGGAAGGGATTATTCAAGGAGATGATAAGCTGCTTGATTATGCTACTAATTTTTACAAAAAGTTGTTTGGTCCTGTAGACCTTTTACCTGTTTCTTTGAGCATTCCAGTTCCTGTTGTCTTGGATAGTGATGACAAGAGCAAGTTGATATCTAGGTTCTCCATGGATGAGATTAAGCTTGCTGTTTTTTCTATGAAACATAATAGGGCTACCGGTCCTGATGGCATGCCCATAGAGTTCTTTCAAAAAATTTGGAATTTGATTTGTCAAGACTTATTCCAATTGTTCTGTGATTTTTTCAAGGGCAAGCTTGATATTTCTAGACTAAACTATGGTATAGTGACTCTGATTGCCAAAGGGCAGGGAGCTGATAAGATCCAGATGTATAGGCCTATTTGCATGCTTAATGTTCCCTTCAAGATTTTTACTAAGGTTCTAAACACTAGGGCTATGCTTGTTGCGGATAAGGTAGTTTCTCGTATTCAAACTGCTTTTATAAAAGGTCGTTACATTCTGGATAACGTAGTTATGCTACATGAAACCATGCACTTCTTACATAAGAATAAAGTTTGTGGTGTGCTGTTTAAAGTGGATTTCGAAAAAGCGTATGATAAAATTAATTTGGCCCTTTATGCTTTCGGTGTTGGAGATGAAGGGGTTCTCTGAAAAGTTTATTTAGTGGACTAAGGCAGTTACTTACAATGGGAAAGTTGCTATTACTTTGAATGATATGATAGGCAAATACTTTACTACTAGGAAAGGACTTAGACATGGGGATCCCTTTTCCCCCCTGTTGTTTAATATAGCGGCTGATGTACTGGTGACCTTGGTGAAAAGGGCGCAAGAGCAAGGTTTTATTAAAGGTTTAGTTCCCCAGCTGTATGACGGTGGCCTTTCTATATTACAATATGCGATGATACTATTTTTATGATTGAGGATGATTTAGAGGGTGCTAGAAACTTAAAAATTATCTTGTGTGTGTTTGAGCATCTGACTGGTCTAAAAATTAATTTTTTGAAGAGCGAGGTTTATTGTTTTGGCGGGGCTGAACCAAAACGGAATGATTATGCTCAGATTTTTACGTGTGCTATTGGTGAGTTCCCTTTTGGGTATCTGGGTCTTCCTTTACATTATAAGAGGCTTGGTAATAGGGATTGGAAATCTGCAGAGGAGAAGTGTGAAAGGAAAGCAGCTACTTGGCAGGGGAGCTTGCTTCCTATGGGGAGTAGGCTAATCCTTGCAGAAACCTGCATGAGTAACATTCCCAGTCACATGCTCTCTCTTTTTTTTAGACTACCAAAAGGCGTGGGTAAAAGATTTGACTTTTCCCGAGCTCGGTTGGTCTGGCAAGAAAAGGAGGGTGTGCGTAAATATCATCTGGTAAACTGGATTGATGTGTGCCAACCTAGAGATCAGGGTGGCCTGGGAGTTACTAATTTAGATATAAAGAATATAAGTCTTTTGTGCAAGTGGCTTTGGCGGCTAGAGAACGAGGATGGAGATTGGCAGGAGATGATTAGAGCAAAGTATTTGAAAAAGAAAACTTTGACTCAATGTGAATCATCTCCTGGCAACTCCCATTTCTGGAATGGTTTGATGGAGGTTAAAGATATTTTTTATAGATGCTGCCAGAGAGTTGTGGGTGATGGTCGCAAAACTAGATTTTGGGAGGATGTTTGGTTAACAGACAAACCCCTATTTTTGGTTTTCCCACGTCTTTACAACTTGACCTTTTGTAGGCATGTCACGGTCGCGAAGGTGTTTAGCCAGGATTTTGATTGCATCAGATTTAGGAGATGTTTGCATGGGGAGACCCTTGAGATGTGGAACAAATTACTTGATATGTGTAGTCAGGTGACCTTGTCGGAGGAACCTGACAGAGTTAAATGGCTTCTTACCTCTTCTGGGAACTTTTTGGTTAAATCTCTGTATCATTATCTTGTTGCTCGACAAGTTGTTTTCCCTTATAAGTTGCTATGGAGAATGAAGATGCCATTGAAAATTAAAGCCTTCTCCTGGTTAGTGATCAAGAATAGGATCCTAACCAAAGATAATTTAAGTAAAAAAGGGTGGAAAGGTGCTAAGCATTGTGAGTTTTGTGACAGTGTAGAGAGTGTGCATCACCTTTTCTTTTCTTGTTCCCTATCTAGATTCTTATGGAATATTGTGGGGTGCTCCTTGGGTAACCAAAGATCCCCAGTGTCTTTCCTTGATTTATGCTAGAATTGGTTGCCTAACTATACTGGCAAAGATAGAGTAGTTGTTATGCTTGGTGCTGCTGCTTTGTTATGGTCTATTTGGAAAACAAGAAATAAATCATGCTTTCAAGGTGTAATGCCCAATGATCCTACTGATATTATTATGTCTGTTTGCTCCCTTTTGTATTCATGGAAAATTTTGCAGAAAAAAGGACTACAAAACACGCTACAGCTAGTCACTAGAAGGATTGCCCAGGTGACTCGGGATGTCTTCAGGAGAGGATATGGGTGGGCGCCGTATGTGAGAAGATCTGATGAAATCAGTTGCTGGAGGCGCTGGTTTCAAAGGCGTGGATCGCTTCTGGCTATCACCCAAAGAGTGGATGTTTCTGATGCTGGTTATAGTTAGCTTTTGTTCCGTCGACCTGGCTCGATGTTATCTAGACAAGTATGCTAGTGCTGGTTGGGTTACTTGTGTGTCGTAGCATCCTGATGTGGTTAGTGCCAGGGATGTAAGAAATATGCTGCTCCTTGCTTGTAAAAGACTCCATTTTCTTAATGAAAATGGGGGCCATGTGGCCCCTCTCATCGAAAAAAAAACATTCTCAAGAAAGAAATAAAAAGTAGGTTAGCAGCCAGTTTGCACCGGCAATCATGTGCAAATAATCTCAACCAAGTGCCTAACGATGTCCTGTGTCACGATCACTATGTCGGTCCCCATGCTATGGTATTACTCGCGACGTCAAATCAGCTTTGGCTGGTTTTGGGGCATACCAGTGCTCTTTTGCCGGAAGAGATTGCAACAAGCTGGCTCACGAACTGGCGGCCACGGCGATTTCCTCATGATGGGCAGTGTGCCTGCTAGTCTCACGAACCTGATGGGCACTTGCGTTTTGTATGTTGTATGTAGTATCTGTCGAAATCGAGAGTATGTATGTGTAGTATGTAGTATATAACAATGTTTAGGTAGTATATATACTAATTTTCAGGTAGTATGTATCATATTTTGAGTATGCTCTTTTTTACGTATTAATATGTACGTATTTCACAAATATAACAAAAATTATGGACTCATATACAATTTTTTCATGTAACTTGTTTTGAAATATCTTAGATATAGTGAATGAACATATTTAAAATAATAAAATAGTATATATAATACCGCATGGTAGTATATGAGATATGTGGGGTAACTACCACCGGGTGGTAGAATGGATTTTAAATATATATATATATATATATATATATATATATATATATATATATATATATATATATATATAAGTACAGTAACAACCTGTCGTGTTCTCTTGACCCGGCTGCTACGAGTACAAAGAAGAAGTCAGTGCATGCATTGACAATCGTACCACCATCACCGTTACCTACCTGACTGTGTACAACAGATTAGATTGCCCTTTGACCATGCACACACCTGATGAACTTTTTTTTTGAGAATTCTTTGCATTCCGATCAGGAAACAATACAAAATAGTTGACCCTTACAAGCACACTGAAACTCAAACACAAAGGACCGTAAACACCTAGAATACCCTAAGACAACCATAACAAAAGAAGATCTCCGGAGCTCTGTGTCATCATCCCTGAATCTTGATAGAAGACCCCTGCAGCAGAAAGATCTGCAACCAGGCGCAAGCAGGTCATCATCTTCGACCACGGAACAATTGCCGCGACGTTGCTTCCTCATTTCTTGACACCAGCACTGAGAGGGCACGGACATCAATCCAACACACCTGCAACAGCCGTCGCCATCTTTGGCTTTGAGTACCGCGAAAAATGTCCCTTCCGAAAGGAAGAGAACTCGAGTCATCCGACCGGTCCAGCACCGCGGCCGGGCCATCCGCCCGGGCAAAGCAGAATCTCCCTCTAGCATCAGCGCAGAGGAAGGAGAAGAACAGCAGCAGCAAATCATACCGACAAGGAAGAAGAAGGGTCTTCGTCTCCCTGCATCCATCGCCCATCTGAGGACCCAAACGGCCAGTGCCAATGGACCTTCAGTCACCATAGCCCGCGACCTCGACGAGATCGGGGGGATCCCCCACCCCGTTGGCTCCTAGACGAAGGCCAAAGCCTCGCCTGACCGCGAACGAAGCCCGGAGAAACTTATTCCGACATGACACCACCGCAACGGCCTCGGCAGCGTTACCCTCAACCCTAACCCTACCACACACACCTAGCAGACAGACCCGAGGTTCCCCCTCCCTCCTGCGGCCGGAGCAGCCGACGGAGAGAGAGGGAACCGGCGGCGCCACCGGCGGCGCGCGGGAAACCCTCGTCGCCTCCTAGATCGCCTGTGATCCTACTTTCCTGGAGCGAAACAGTCGACCCGACGGCTCGCGAGGCGGTTGCTGTCGGGCTGACTTGCACACACCTGCCCTGACCTGTAGGTATGAGCTAGCCAGCCGCGACTTGAGCTCTCCATTTATTCAGACCATGCCCATGCAAACCTGATCGATCGGCATTCGAACGGACCACCATGGCGACGCCAGCGGTTGCCCAAGTAACTCTGCTCCTGCTGTCCTGTCTAGCGGCGGCGGCGGGAAACGACCGGGACGCGCTGCTGGCGTTCAAGGCCGGCGTGACGTTGGACCCGACGGGCGCGCTCCGGTCGTGGAGCAACGACACGGCCATCTGCCGGTGGGTCGGGGTGAACTGCAGCGCCGCCGGCCGCGTCACGACGCTGGACGTCGGCGCGCGCCGCCTCGCCGGCACGCTCTCCCCGGCCGTCGCGGACCTCGCGCACCTCGAGGTCCTCAACCTCACCGACAACGCCTTCACGGGAGCCATTCCGGAGAGCCTTGGCCGGCTCGGGCGCCTCTACTACCTCAGCCTCTGCGACAACGCCTTCACCGGCGGCGTCCCTGCCTGGCTGGGCGCGATGCCGGCGCTCATGGTGCTGAGGCTCGACACGAACTCGCTATCCGGCCGCATCCCACCATCGCTCGCCAATCTCACGACGATCAGGCAGCTCAGTCTTGCCGAGAACCTGCTCGAAGGCGGTATCCCCGAGGGCCTCGCGCGCCTCCCGAATCTCCAATTGTTTAACGTGCGCCGGAACAACCTCGCCGGCGAGATCCCTCCAGGCTACTTCAACATGTCGTCGCTGCAGGGCATCTCCCTCTACAACAACGAGTTCCACGGGAAGCTCCCGCGCGACGCCGGCACCCGCTGGCCCAGCCTCGTGTACCTCTACCTCGGCGGCAACCGCCTTACCGGGCCCATCCCGGCGTCGCTCGCCAACGCTACCCAGCTGCAGTACGTCGACCTGGCCAACAACAGCTTCACCGGCCAGGTGCCTCCGGAGATCGGCAATCTTTGCCCGCAGTCGCTTGAGCTGTCCAACAACGAGCTCACGGCGACCGATGCTGGCGGCTGGGAGTTCCTGGACAACCTGACGAACTGCGACGTCCTCACCGAAATCTTCCTCGACGATAACAAGCTCGGCGGTGCGATGCCGAACTCCATCACGCGCCTCTCGCGAAATCTCGAGAGGCTAAGTCTTGCGAGCAACCGCATCTCTGGCATGATACCAGCGGGCATCGGCAACCTCGTGGGGCTACAGAGGCTGAGTCTTGCGAGCAACCGCATCTCCCGCATGATACCAGCGGGCATCGGCAACCTCGTGGGGCTAGAGAGGCTGTACCTTGACTCTAATCTCATAACCGGCTGGGGTTAATATTGCCATGAGTAATACTCCCGCAAGCTCCTTTTGCGCGCCGTTATAAGATCTGGGTCATAGAAGGCTATTATTCCCAATTTTGTTACGGCCTTGCTATGTTGAGTCGACCGAGATTTAACGAAGTCCCGGTCCACACTATATCAATGAGATCCGTCTAATTTTTTTTCTTTTAGTATTTTATTTTTATTTTTTACATGTTATGTTACTTGACTGAGACATTGTTAAATATCAGTCGACTGAGACCTAGCCGTGCTCTTAGAATTCGGGCTGCACTACTGAAATCAGCAGATTTGCTGTCTGCTATCAGCGAGAAGAAAGCGGACAGCAAAGAGGAAGCGAACGGCAAAGAAGCTCTTCGCCATCATCCAGTTCTTTGCCGTCTGCTGGTGGGTCCAGTGGACGCCAGCGCTGTCACGGCGCACCAGCCCCACCTCTTTGCCATCTGCTAACAGACGGTAAAGATTCTTTGTCATCTGCTGGCAGACGGAAGAGAGGTGGGGCTATCTTTTTTCAAGGTAAAAAAAACTGTTGCCCCCACCTCCTCTCTCTCTCTCCCCACCCGGCCGCGTTGAACCCAAGGTTTTGGATCCCAAGCGGTCTTTTTTTCTCGAGGGGCACCGAAATTCACGGTTACCACGGTAACCACGTAATACCGAAAAAAAATTGGATGAAATTTTAAATTCAAATAATTTGAAGTTGGTATAGATAGCATTTTAACTCACTTGGATCAGTAATTCTCCCCTAGCGTAGTGGTTGTTCAGAGGCACCAACCTCTGCCGCGATCTTATCAGATCTTGAGTTCAATTCCTGGCCGATGCCCAAATTTTTCTTTTAGATTTTTTCTTTTGCAATCTAAAAAAGAAAGAAAAACGCGAGGTTCAAGACTTATAACGGCGCCAACTGCTGATGGGTCCAGTGCGTCCACCCAGATCTTATAACGGCGCATCCAACTGCTGATGGGTCCAGTGGACGCCAGCGCTGTAACGGCGCACCAGCCCCACCTCTTTGCCATCTGCTAACAGACGGTAAAGATTCTTTGCCATCTGCTGGCAGACGGAAGAGAGGTGGGGCTATCTTTTTTCAGGGTAAAAAAAACTATTGCCCCCACCTCCTCTCTCTCTTTCCCCACCCGGCCACGTTGAACCCAAGGTTTTGGATCCTAAGCGGTCTTTTTTTCTCGAGGGGCACCGAAATTCACGGTTACCACGGTAACCACGTAATACCGAAAAAAAATTGGACGAAATTTTAAATCAAATTTTAAATTCAAATAATTTGAAGTTGGTATATATAGCATTTTAACTCACTTGGATCAGTAATTCTCCCCTAGCGCAGTGGTTGTTCAGAGGCACCGACCTCTGCCGCGATCTTATCAGATCTTGAGTTCGATTCCTGGCCGATGCCCAAATTTTTCTTTTAGATTTTTTCTTTTGCAATCTAAAAAAAGAAAGAAAAACGCGAGGTTCAAGACTCGAACCCGCGACTCACAGCTCGAGAGAGCTTGCCTGTGCCACTACACCACCACATGTTCTATTGTTAAATTAGAGATGCCGTCTATTTAACTGAGTCAGAGTTTGAATTCAAAATTTTCAAAAAAAATCGAATTTTTTTGCTCGGTATGAGTGTTTTTCGTGGGGTAGCGGTAACCGCTCGGGATCACGAAATTTCGAGCGGGACCCAAAACAGAGGTTGAACCCATGGTTTTCAATTTCAGTTTCAGAAAAATTTCAACACCAACCGAAATCATTGAAATTCAGTAAAATTCAGTGATTTCAGTTTCCATTTCAGCCAAATGACCGAAATATTCACTTGAATTCAATTAAAAATTTGAAAAATTTAAAAAATATATTGAAAAATATCGAAATTGTTGTGCTATACTGAAATTGCTGAATTTTTTTGGCCGAAACATAATATTTCAGTGTCTGCTGAAATTACTGAAATTCAGTGAATTTCACCGAAATCTCCCTGAAAGTGAAAACCATGGTTGAACCCACTGCCCCCGCACCCGCACCCGCATCTCCTCTCTGCTCTCCCGCGCCCTAGGATTAGCCACAGCCGCCGCCGCCGCCACCGCCACCGACCTTATTCCGGCGAGCTCCGGCGGCCATGGTCGGCGCGCAGCACGCTACCGAGCTCACCCCGCCCCGCTGCATCGATTCCTCTGGCCAGATCCGTCCCTCCTTCCCTCGAACGCTCGCGCCCAACACATCCCTCTGCGGCTAAGGTTTGGTGCGCGGCCTCATCTCCGCCGCCGGCGTGCCTCCGACGGTCCTCTACGCCTCCTCGCATGGCTCCTCACGCGGCTGCGCCTGCTGGACGCTGCTTCTCCACCACAAGGCAAAGGCAAAGGAGGGCCTTATCCACCACCACGCAACGGCAGCCAAGGTCCTCCTCCCCATCTCGCCTCTCTCCCTCTCTCAACCCCCTGTTTCTTTTGATTTGGGAAATTTTGTCCTTTTTCCCTTGTGCAATTTCTGATATGACCGGGTTTGTTTTTAGGGGCATTAATTTGGTGCTTTCTGTGTCCAGAGAAAACTAGTAGAAGGGGGTGAGGAAGGAGGAGAAAGGCTAGAAGAAGGGCAAGGGAGGTGGGGCGATCTGCATGTCCATGGAGGTCTGAATGTTCCTTGTTTAAGTTTTTTTATGTTGCATGCTCTCTGATTCCAGAGTAGATTTCTTTACAGCATGTTGAATACCAATGGTGTTCTCCTCTGTTTGATTACTATGGCTGGTTGCTTGTTTAACTTCTATGTGAGAAATAATGCAGATCAAGTGAGCTAATCTTGTTTCTAAATTTAGATACATGCATGTCTGTGGGGCTCTAGTTCTAAACATAGTAGACCACTACCCTCCTATATGTTGTGCGAACCAGAGAGCTGCTTAATTGATTAACATTTTGGATTGGTTTAATTTTTCTAAAAATGGCTGCTTCTGTTGTCACACATACACATGCTTCTGGACAGTGCTACTAGCTATTATCTTTGCTATTTTTTTGATATCCAGACTAATTTTCGCATGATTTGTTTCGATCATGTACTGCTAGTTGTGGTTGTCAAACAAAAAGAATTGGTTTATGATTCATAATGTCCAGACATTAGCTTGTCTTTTCAAGGAGTTGGTTTGCGATACATGCACACCTATTCATTTTAGTTTCAAAGAAAAGAATTGGCTTGTGATTCGTAATGCTCAGGCCATTGTTTTAATGGCGTATTGCGTTTCATGGCGAGCGACCCCCTTTATAGCATTATAGCGACGATATAGCGACGCCATAAAGGTATTGCGAGCCTGGGTCTGTATGGCGTCCGTTATAGCGACGAGATACGGACGCCTTTAAAACAATGGCTCAGGCATTAATTTTCACTGTCACATGCATGGTTTCAGATTACCTGTGAGCTAGGTCATCCACCGCGAATAATAGAACACATACTACTAGGAGGAATCACATTTAACTATGATATTCATAGGGTAGTTTTTTCTTGCTGTTAAACATGTCCACCGGCATACATTGTATCTTATTGTGCTCTTACTTTTTTGTCTAGGTACTTGATGCCTCTTGGTGAGAAGATGATGGCGAGTTCCTCATTCCAACTGAGTTTATATTGTGTAGGTTTCTTCATCATGATCTAGATTGCCGCAGTCATGTTCAAGTCCAATGATATCTTGCACAAGCAGACCGCTCTCAAGGTTGGTTCTTCATAATAACTTGTCTATCAACGTGCTTCTTCTGCTTCTAGAGGTTAATTAATTGTTCTGCCAAGCAGACTGCTCTCAAGGGCTTGTGCTTATCTTGTGTATCAACGGTCTTGTTCTGCTTCTAGCACTGGGTCTGTCCCTTCTATTGAGGAAGCCGGCTGGCAGACTGCTGCCGTCACTAAATCCCTAACGCTGGGCCCCGTGTTAACTCCATTTGATTGTCAAATTGCTTAGATAACTCAATTTGATTGTCCTCATAGTGTTCTCACATGCTTAGAAGAGTTGGAAACACTATAAATGTTTTGGTACGGATATGTGCTCTAGAATAGTGATTCTGGCATGCTATATTTTTCATTGCGGTGAATGGTATTCTCTTTTCCCACACAACATGATTTCCCCTTTTGGGGCCTCTCTGCTTCAAATTATTCCATATGATTGTAATATGCAGCCTTGAAAAACTCCTATGGTTTTCTATGATGCACTCAAACATCCTGTCGATCATATTGTATCAAGAGAGGCATGACATTGCAACCCAGTGATTTTCCTATTTATGAGTTTTTAGGTCCTGTGAACCAATTAGGCCCTTGGTCATTTCTTGAACTCAATCAGTAACTCATTTGTGGAAAAAACTTGATGATGTGTGTACCTGTGTGTTCTGTTCTGTTTTGAAATTGGATAACATTGCCCCGTGTTTCACTTGGAAATAACTTATGTTTGTTGAATAATAGGAATTTATGCACCATTTCTATCTGTTCATAACGCTTAAACTATTACTGCCCTCCTTAAAATTTCTAATCAGGCTGACTGTTGTTTTGTGCTCCACAGATACAACGGTCCGGCAAAGCTGCTATGGTGGTCAAGTGTGTGCTGCCTAGGAAAATAGATATTTAGTTTTAGGTCATTTCTTGTAATTTCAGATATAGAGTGCTTGTCTTTAGTTTTTGTTTTTACTTTGTGAAACTTGCTACCTATGGATGAAACTGTGTAATATTGATGAAACTATGTATATGTATGGATGAAACTTGCTACTATTGGTAACATGTGTGTGTGTGCGCGCGCGTGCGTGCGTGTGTGCTGCCTATTTGGTCTTTTTGCCATCTGCCAGAAGAGCCTGCAGTCTTTGCCGTCGGCCAGCAGATGGCAAAGAGCATGCGTCTTTGCCGTCCGCCAGCAGATGGCAAAGAGCCTGCGTCTTTGCCGTCCGCCAGTAGATGGCAGACGACGATGATCCAGTCTTTGCCGTCTGCCAGCAGACGGTAAAGAGCCATGACTTTTGTCGTCGCTCGTTCAGTAGGACGTTTTGCCGT